AATACTTATGTACATGTTTTTTTTTTTTTTTTAATTTGCAAAGATTTCAAAATAAACTTTTTCGCATTGTCATTATGGGGTATTGTTTGTAGAATGTTGAGGGAAAAAATGAATTTAATTCATTTTGGAATAAGGCTGTAACATAACAAAATTGGCAAAATTTAAGCGCTGTGAATACTTTCTGATATGAGTGAACGCTCCTACAGAAAAGCTGCTGTCACCAAAAAAAGTGTGACACACCAACCTTGGAAAATAATAAGCAAAAAGACTTGTGCAGTGCTAAGGTTAAATTAACACACAAAAAAAATACATAAAATAAGTGCAAACCAATCCATATATCAATCAATATATCAAATGGACCATTCCAGAAAATTGTGATGATTAAATTAATGCAAACGTCCAATCATTAAAGTGTGTATCAAATAATGAATAGTGTCCCCATGGTGCAAAGAGAAAGATGGCCAAATTCTTCTTCCCAGCACCACCAGCAATGTGCACTCCTCCACCTGTATGCACTCAACAGAGGGTTAAATAGTAACTGCATACATCTTAGCCACCCTGATCATTCCTGCGTCTCAATTCCTGGTCATCAATTCTAAAGTCCTAAATGGACTTCAAACAAATATGTTTAGGTTGTCACAAACTTGAAGGAAGTTATCTACTCCTGTTCTGGAGTCAGAGGTTCACCTCCAAAACATAGTCACAGACTACTTATACCTGGTGATAGAAGGCTCTTGGGTTTCCAAGCTTCAGCCTAGGATGTAAAGGCAAACTAAAAAGTCAAAATATAAATAAATAGCCCATTAAAAGGCATATAAAAATAAAAGCAATATTCAGCTTCAATTTAGAAATGTTCTGGCACTAGAAGTCCGCCAGCATTATTCCAACGCACCTTGCCTGAGCCGAGGTCATTCTGGACCAACCTGCAGCCTGTTAAGGAAGGAGAAGGAGCACAGTCATCTCACAACTCTGCTTTTCTTATTGGCATACTTATTGTTGACATCGGCTCTCTGTGCTACTTCATCTCACACTCCAGCCCTGCTGTATAGGGACTGCAAGAGGCTGACACCAGCTCAAATTCAGGTACTTGCATTGCTTGCCAAAACGTTTTTGCTATCCGTGTACCACTGGGGAAATTTTCACTCATTTCCTGTCCCAGAAATGCGATAGAAAGTTAGAGGAAATCCCCAAAGTGAGTGTAATTCCTCTTTTTGACAGTAGTCCCTGGAACAGGCATCCCCATTGAAAGATTTGCTCACCTCTTGTTCTGTGGACAACTCTAAAATTTTGGATTTGCCTTTTTGAGCAGCGCTAATAGAGGGTTGAATCTCCCCAACAGGAACACAAATAATAAAAAGTTGATAGAAGGTCTGAGCCTTCCCTGCTCTATCTAAAACAAAAAATAGTGCTTTGAAGAAGTACTGTATAACCATAATCCCCAAAGTGTTGTGGAAACCCCAGGGGACTAATGCTGGACATACTAGTAGATTGTCAGACGCGAATATTCATATGAAAATTCTTTGTACATTCAATAAATGGACAAATTTAATTTGAAAATTCCACTTGCTTTTAACATTCAGTTTTAAAAGTAATCTAATTTCTGAACGAAAACTATATATACTGTTTGAAAATTGGTTAGATGGAGAAAAGTTTTCCATTCTGCGCCTTCAAATTTTCCAGTCACTGGTCGAAAATGAACATCGATTTGACCCCACAAACTATTAAATGTTAAATACTAACATATTTAAACAAAAATCTGTGTATGGCCAGTATAAGTCTTGGTCCCATTCTGTTCTGAGTTAAGATGGGTACACACTATAAGAAACTTGGAAGAAAGATTCCCTTCAAGAAATGATTGGTTGATTATCTGATCGTTTAGTATATTGCTTTAGACAGATTCTGACTATTCGGACAAAAAAAAGGTCCAAGTTAGAAAATTTTTAACATCTGTGAACACGTCTGATTTTCTCAGTGACACCAAGAATGGGGCCCAATGGCAGCAACAATGGGTCACAATTCCTCCCAATGATGGGGCACAGTTCCTCCCACTGTCTCCAATGATGGGGTGCTATTCCTTCCGCTGACACCAGAGATGGGGCATTGTCTTTTCCCACTGACATCAGGACCTTTTCTACTTCCAATAGCAAAAGTCTGAAGGACAGTAAACTGGCCCTTTCTTTAGAAAGTTTGGAGAACCCTGATCTAGAGCACATGCAGGGCTGCCGCCAGCAGGGAACAGAAGTGCACCTCGGTCTCTCGGACTCCGCCTTCTGCCATGCTGCTGGAGTAAAGTAGGGCGCTGATGTATAAGGGAGACTAATTGGAAGGGGCTTCTAAAGTTCTTTTCATCAAATCGTTGTGCGCATTGTCTCAGATTTAGGTTTTTGACATTTTAGAGTGGAATACCTTGATGCAGCTCTAAAGAATGCTGTACTGCTCTGTCTCAGCTGGTCCTGGCTGCCCTTGACTGCCCCATTTAGTTGATGTCACAATGGGGACATAAAATAGGCCCCATAAATTGGGCTTAAGTCTGGGGTGGAGCTGACAGCCAGCAAAAACAGAAAAAAAGTGCTTTTATTGCAGTATGGCTACGGATCAGCTCAAGAGCAAATGCCCCATGCACTTGGTCCCCTGGGGTGTTTTGCAAACATTTAAGAAATATGGAGATATTTTAAGCACTTCCCGTCCGGCCCATGTATATAAACGGCCGGACGGGGGCAGTGCAGGACCGGGTTGCCGTTCATAAATGGTGCCTGCCATTTTGGACTGTGCGTGCTCCCTGGGAATGCGTGGCACTGCGATCTGGTGCCCGCTGGGTCCGAACACCGACCGCTATATGGGACCTCTGTGTGAGGTCCCGATCATATGATCACTGATTGGCCAATCAGTGATCACATAAATAGTAATAAGCAAGATGTCACTTCTGACATCATTGCCTACTACGTGTGAAATCTGTGAATGATCACATGGTACAAGGCTATTCATGACAGCCTTGTACCATGTGACAAGCTCTGACCAATCACAGCTCACACAGTATTTTTCAATGGCTGCAAGAAATACAGCCAGAGAGAAGGAGAAATGATTGCTTTTACAGCCTTTATGGGTGTAAAAGCAATCAGTGTAAAAAAAAAAAAATCTTCATCACCCCCCACAAGTAGTACAGTGTCACTATGGTGACACTGTACTGCTAGGGTGACAGCATGTTAAAAAATCCTAAGTAATAATATAAAAATTTAAAAAAATGTTTTTAAAAATTATAATTTTTGGTTATAAACTAATTTGGATTATTTTTTTTTTTTTACTAAAAAGATAACTGAATACATTTTGGCCAAGATTTATGAAGAAAGACTATTTATTTGCAACATTTTATAAGAATGCAGCCAGAGACAAGGAGAAATGATTGCTTTACAGCCTTTATGGGTGTAAAAGCAATCTGTATAAAAAAAAAAAAATCCCCCCCCCACACAAGTAGTACAGTGTCACCATGGTGACACTGTACTGCTAGGGTGACAGGATGTAAAAAAATAAAATGTAAAAAAAGATGTTAAAAAATTATAATTTTTGGTTATAAACTAATCTGGGGTTTTTTTTTTTACTAAAAAGATAACAGAATAAATTTTGGCCAAGATTTATGATGAAATATTATTTATTTGCAAAATTTTATAAAAAAAACACTTTTTTTCAAAATGTTTGGACTTTTTCATTTATATAGCAAAAAAATAAAAATCCCAGTGGTGAATAAATACCACCAAAATAAAGTTTTATCTGTCTCAAAAAAATGCTAAAAAATTCATATAGGTACAGTATTGCATGACCGCGCAATATTCATTCAAAGTGTGACAGCGCTGAAAGTTGGCCTGTACAGGAAGGGGGTAAAAGTGTCTGGACATGAAGTGGTTAAGTGATAAAGAAGTATGTTCAACACTGGACATTTTGCTGCCTTCTGCCACCTTCATCTGGACTGTGAAGAGAAGTACTGGCTTCATGATGCTGTTTGTTTATTAATGCTCTCTAACAAACCTCTGAGGGCTTAAATTAAATTACACACAGGTAAACTCTATTTACTAATTAGGTGGATTCTGAAGGCAATTGGTTCCACTAGATTTTAGTTTGGGGTCTTAGGCTGGCCATACACTAAACAATTTTCTGCCCAATTTCCTTTAGATTTACCTTCAACTATGTAGTGCAAGGGCCTGCCTAACTGGATACAATTGAAAGTGTTGTTAGGTTTGACCTCCTATTATATGGGTTTTGGTAAATCTATTGGACAGAAAATTGTAAGAAAATTGTATAATGTATGGCCAGCCTTAGAGTAAAGGGGGCTGAATACAAATGCATGCCACATTTTTCAGATATTTATTTGTGAATAATGTTGAAACCCATTTATCATTTTCCTTCCACTTCACAATTATGTGCCACTTTGTGTTGGTGCATCCCAATAAAATGCATTTACGTTTTTGGTTGTAACATGACACAATGTGGAAAATTTCAAGGGGCATGAATACTTTTTCAAGGCCCTGTATTCTGCAGTTTACTAATGCCTAGATGTGGTAGCTGCATTAGTTTTCTATTTTCAGGCTATTTTCCTCTTTGCTTTCACCTGGCAATCCTACCAGTAAAACACTTCCTGACCTAGGGTAACAGTCACTGAAAGTGAGAATAAACTGACATTTTTCATAAAATAAATACATTGATTAAATATAAGTAGAATGTATGTACCTTCTATCTCTTTCTTTTGTTTCATCTGTCAAATGCAAGCTTTTTTCTGCCATCCTCACACTTCCTGTTTTAGGGTGGCTGCGTTAGATGCCCATGCCCCCCTTGTGCATGTGAATGTAGCCACCGGTTTCTACCTGCCTCCGAGATGGACAACACATCGACCTGCAGACACATTCAGCACAATGGGAATTGTATTCTTCATAGAGCGAAGCATGTGAACAGAAAAATCAAACTGCGGCCCGGGGGCCAGATGTGGCCCATTTTGCTTGCTTTTATCTGGGTTCAATGACATCATCAATGATGGGGCAGAAATTCCTCCCACTGACGCAAATGATAGGGTCCAATGACATCAATGATGGGGCAGAATTCCTCCCACTTACACAAATGATAGGGTCCAATGACATCAATGATGATAGGGGCAGAATTCCTCCCACTGACACAAATGATAGGGTCCAATGACATCAAATGATAGGGTCCAATGACATCAATGATGGGGGGTACACAAATTGCTCCCACTGACACAAATGATAGGGTCCAATGACATCAATGATGGGGCAGAATTCCTTCCAGTTACACAAATGATAGGGTTCAATGACATCAATGATGGGGCAGAGTTCCTCCCACTGATACCAAACAATGAGGCCTTATTTTTTTCTTTCCACTGTCCTTGAGACCTTTTCTACTCCTACTGGCTGCAGTCCAGCCCTCGTAAAGTCTGAAGGACAGTAAACTGGTCCTTTGTTTAGAAAGTTTGGCGAACCCTGCTAATAACAATGTGGGGCATCAAGGAGTGTGGACAAAAAGATGCCTGAAAACAATGGTAAGAGTCTTATTAAACAAACAAAAAACAGAGCATGATATAAGTGATGTAAAAAAAAAAATAGTTGTATTTTTGAAGGAGCAAGGACAGAAGTGTGTTAGGATCTTCTCTAGAACATATAGGGTAGGTGTTCTGTAGTCCACAAAGGAGAACTGTGCACATAAAATTACACTGGCTTTCTGGCAGTCTCAGTGGGTATGTTTCTGTAGCTGCAAAAAGTTTCTTAGATGAATAAAAAAAAACCAAAGCAGCCACCACATCTAAGGACTGCTTTGTATGACAATTTATTTTGTGGGTTTAAATAGACTTTAATATTATTGATGCCATACAAAGCAAACACACTGTCAAGACACAAAGGGGCCTGTGTGACTAAGATATAAGATTAGTCTTACAGGCTTTAGTTGTTCTAGAAAAGAGGACACCAAAGATATACTCATGTGACCTGCACAAGATCGATCATGCCCCTGTGGTCCAATGGTCTTCTAAATGGACTGTTCCTGACATCAGCACAATCTATAGGTATGAACAGTCCACTTCTGGACCGTGGGGGAGCACGGTTTTCTGTAGAATCAGCGGGTCAGGGGAGTATGAGCTTAGTTCTCACTCCTAGAAAAAACAAGCAGCTGATCCAGGCAGTGGAGGCAAAGCCCCACTGCATGGTGAAAAAAAAAATTGACTGGAGTTCTGCTTTAAAGGGTAAGTACATCTTTTCAGGCAGAATTTTCTTTTTTGCAATAAGTAGCAGCATTTTCTAATGCCTTTTCTGCCCCAGCCATCTCAATGTGCTTATCTCTCACATGCCTAGTCCATGGCAGCTTTAATCTTCATCTATCTGTTTACAACTTTAAAAAATGCATTCTGAGCCCTGACTTCCTGTAGCATCATGTGATCATCTGGAAAACCTCATATTTCATCATGCACTGCGCTACTGCATCACGGAATAGGGTCTTTTTCAGCTCTGAGGAAGGGAGTTCGACTCCAGAAACACGTTAGCATACCCTGTCGTAGGACCACTATTTTCTGGGACTGTCACATTGGGTTCCTTGTCTGTTTACATGACCCTTGGTTTGTGAGTATATTTTTGTCATTTTTAATCAATCCTTTTTTATCACGTTAGTGCACACGGTAGTGTGTTTTCTTCTACTAGTATCAATATTCCCTGATCTTTAGAGGGCCGCACCTCAGCGAGTGACAGAAACTGTGTTCCTGTGATGCATGAAGACCTGAGCGCTGGTTTCCATTCTTCTTGACGGAATAGGGTGTGTTTTACCACTCTGAACCACACCTACCTCATTACGGCACCACCTCTTATTTTTTTTTTTTTTTATATTTCCACCCACTTTCCTACTTCTTCCATTAAGGTGGTTATGCACTGTACAATGTGATTGTACAACCTCCTTTAGATCTGCCATCAGCTATATAGTGCAAGGGCTGACCTGATTTGATACAAATTGAATGAATTGCTCAGGTGGGTCAGCCAATTCCATAGTTCTGGTAAACCTAAAGAGATTTTACAATAAGATTGCATAGTGTATGGCCAGCTTTATAGAAGTACATAGGAAGGAGTGAATGTAGACCCCAGCTGTAATTGTTATTGTGTAAACACAGCAATTTCATTTTCAGACCCCATTCACATTCAGTGTAGTAAAAGCGCAAGTTTTTTGGCACATTTTGCTGAGTTTGTTGCACATTTTTGGTGTGCAAAACAACAAATAATGGCACCGAAAGCACGACTAGTTTATTTTAGGAGGGTGGCCATACACTATACAATCTGATTGCACAATATCTGTACAATATCCTTTAGATGTAACAAAACTATATAAAAGGAGGCCACACCTATATATCCAGCCACTCTGTATCCAATCAATCTGTATGCACTACATAGTTGATGATAGATCTAAAAGAGATTGTATGGGGAGCTTTACAGACTTCCAAGGACACAATTCTGTTTTCAATACCACAGCTCTGCTCCACATAGGCTGTTATGATCACTCACCTCTTCCAAAGGAAAGATCTATGCAAGACGAAGGTAAGGTACAAAACAATCAGTAGAGGAAAACACTGGCTGTGTATTCAGGGAGAACAATGCTTACTGACATTTCCTGCATTGGAGAAGCATGTAAGTACAGAGGTGGGCAAGAGCAATCTCCTGGAGAGGGAGGGCAGCTGCTGGGTGTGTGTTAAAGTGTTACTAAACCCAGGACCCTGCATTCACTATATCTGGTCTCCCACAGTACACAGAACATGGAAATGCAATTATTTTAGAAAATATAAAATGCTAAATACCTTTTCTCATCAACACAGCAGTCTTGTGATTTCTATCAGTGTTCAGCTGAGCACTTGTTAAAGCTTGTAGGAGGAGTTTTCATTCTCCTCTAGGAGATTACAGAACCCCTGACCTCTGGACAGTGCTGATTGGCCCTGTGCTGATCACATGCACTCTCCCAAGAAAAACTCTCTAGCAATACACACCAAACTGAGCATGTGCAGAGTGACTCCAAACCTCTGTTGTATCAGGAGATATTTAGGGGACACAAGAAGAAGGAGAGGATCAGAGAAGAGAGGCTCAAACATCCTTTGTACACAATGTGGAGAATTAACTCCTTAGGTTCCACAGTGAGTATAACAAGCATGCTTTACTGCATATACAGACTGATTTTACTGTTGTGGGTTTAGTAACACTTTAAAGAGGCCAGCTGGTGAACTACTTCCCGACTCTCAGTTTTCATATCCCAAATACCAGGATGTAAAACAGGAGTTTTCTATAAAACAAACTGGAGGCTGAGGTGAGGGCTGTCCTATTATTATTATTATAGAGGATTTATACAGCGCCGACAGTTTGTGCAGCACTTTATAAAATGAAGGTAGACATTACAGTTACAATACAATTTGATACAAGAGGAATCAGAGGGCCCTGCTCATTAGAGCTTACAATCCTAGAATATAAAAAAAAGCTTTATCTTTTCTGTAACAGAGGTGTGTCAATGGTATATTGGGACATAGGGAAGATGGAATTTAGGGGGAAAAAAAAGTGAACTTCGCTTTTAAAACTACTTGGCTAAGACTTCGGCTGCTATGCTATCCATACGAATAAATATTATGCATTTATAGAGATCTTGCATAGATCTGTGGATTACATCCACTTTACTTGGTTAATACTTGGCCGGCCTCACATGGGTTGAAATTTGACCGATTTTTCATCCGAAAATCGGACCTAAGAATAATCGGCCGATTTTCACTCTGTTAGTGGGTCAATTGCACCAGCCAATTTTCATGGTTCCTCCCCGTTTCGGTGATCGGGCATGTTGGAAAATTTGTGAAAAACAACCGATTTTCGACTCAATGATGGTCAAATCGTATAATCATTTTTCCGAAAAGAATATGCGCTTGAGCCGTGACCTGGAAGGAACAGAAGTTTCGCCTGTTATATGGGGAGAACTTTATGACTTGGTCAGCCGATTTTCAAAATCATTGATGGCGCCATCGGATTACTGAGCGAACGTTTTCGATTTTCAGATGCAATCGTTCGGAATTTGAACCATGTTTGGCCTGCATAAGGGTAAGAGCCTATCAGATTTCATCTAACGCTAACCATACACTGATCGGCTGGTTCAGTAGCTGTCAAATTCCAATCAGTGTGTGGCCATTCCGTTTGACAGAAGCTAATCGTTTGATTGACTTCCTGTCAAAGGGACATGCTGGAAAACATTGGTCAAGCAGCAATTGCAGCCGCTGATCAATGTATTTTTACAGTGGCAGGTCCTGTTGACAAAATACAATGTCCTGGTGGGGAAGGGATTCCTCCATTTACCTCACTTGTGTGGATGGAGGAATCTGTTTAGTGCGCTGAAAAAAAAAAACTAACAGTACAGGGCCAGTGATATGCTGCGGGGACCATAACATTGTTAGCGGCACCCCAAACATACATCACAAACAGTGCATTTGCGGGCACCAGATTACAGGTATGGTATCGCAGGACCATGCGATTTGGTGGCACACATTTTGTAACCACTTGCCTACCAGGCACTTTTACCCCCTTTCTGCCCAAGCCAATTTTCAGCTTTCAGCGCTGTTGCACTTTGAATGAGGAGGCACTGATGAGGCTGCACTGATATGCGGCAATGATGGGCACTGACTGGCAGCACTGCTGGGAACAGATGGGCAGCACTGTTGAGCACTGATAATCAGGGCACTGACAATCAGCGCCCTGATTAACAGCGCAGGGGTCTCCTTTGACAGTTGCCAGTTATCGGCAGTACTTTCCTCACGCTGTCACAGCCGATAACTGGTAAGTGTATTTACATGGACACAGCTGATCACGTGGCAAAAGACTGCTGTAATTGGCCTTTTTACCATGTCATGTGATCAGCTGTGTCCAAAAAATACAGCGATCACAGACAACACCGGGTGGGCGCTGCTGGGGGTGTGTTCTGGGAGGACGTCATATAATGCCCTCCCAGAACTGGATGACCACGCTGTAGCCATCATTCAGCTATAGTGTGGTAAGGAAGTGGTTAAAAAATAATGCATGCACTACTTTTTGTGTGATTCCAGCCCATGAAAATAGCAGAGCAGGGAAAAACACTACACAGTGAGGAACAGAAGTATTTGAACACCCTGCGATTTTGCAAGTTCTCCCACTTAGAAATCATGGAGAGGTCTGAAATTCACATTGTAGGTGCATTCCCACTCAGAGACAGAATTTAAAAAAAAAAATCAGGAAATCACATTGTATGATTTTTAAAGAATGTATTTGTCTTGCACTGCTGAACATAAGTATTTGAACACCTGAGAAAATCAGAGTTAATATTTGGTACAGAACCCTTTGTTTGCAATTACAGAGGTCAAACGTTTCCTGTAGTTCTTGACCAGGTTTGCACACACTGCAACAGGGATTTTGGCCCACTCCTCCACACAGATCTCCTCTAGATCTGTCAGATTTCGGGGCTGTCACTGAGCAACACGGAGTTTCAGCTCCCTCCAAAGATGTTCTATTGGATTTAGGTCTGGAGACTGGCTAGGCCAGTTCAGAACCTTGATTTGCTTCTTATGGAGCCACTCCTTGGTTATCCTGGCTGTGTGCTTCAGGTTGTTGTCATGTTGGAAGACCCAGCCACGACCCATCTTCAATGCTCTGACTGAGGGGAGGAGGTTGTTGCTCAAAATCTCACAATAAATGGCCCCATTCATCCTCTCCTTAATACAGTGCAGTCGTCCTGTCCCCTTCGCAGAAAAGCACCCCCAAAGCATGAGTAGGGATGGTGTTCTTGGGATGCAACTCATCCTTTTTTTTCCTCCAAACACGACGAGTGAGGTTTAGACCAAAAAGTTCTACTTTGGTCTCATCTGACCACATGACTTTCTCCCATGCCTCCTCTGGATCATCCAGATGGTCATTGGCAAACTTCAGACGGGCCTGGACATGTGATGACTTGAGCAGGGGAACCTTCCGTGCAATGCATGATTTGAAACCATGACGGCGTAGTGTTCTACCGACAGTGACCTTTGAAACTGTAGTCCCAGCTCTCTTCATGTCATTGACCAGCTCCTCCCTTGTAGTTCTGGGCTGATTCCTCACCTTTCTTATCATCAGTGATACCCCACGAGGTGAGATCTTGCATGGAGCCCCAGTCCGAGGGAGACTGACAGTCGTCTTTAGCCTCTTCCATTTTCTAACAATTGCTCCAACAGTTGATCTATTTTCACCAAGCTGCTTGGCAATTGCCCCGTAGCCCTTTCCAGTCTTGTGGAGGTCCACATTTTGTCTCTGGTGTCTTTTGACAGCTCTATGGTCTTGCCCATAGTAGTAGTTGGCATCTGACTGACTGTGGGGTGGACAGGTGTCTTTAAAGAGCTCAGACAGGTGCTACTAAGTTAGATTAATGAGTGGAGTAGAGGTGGACTTTTTAAAGGCACAGTAACAGGTCTTTGAGAGCCAAAATTCTTGCTGTTTCTTAGGTGTTCAAATACTTATGTTCAGCAGTGCAAGACAAATAAATTCTATAAAAATCATACAATGCGATTTCCTGAATTGTTTTTTTAATTCTGTCTCTCAGAGTGGGAATGCACCTACAATGTGAATTTCAGACCCCTCCATGATTTCTAAGTGGGAGAACTTGCAAAATCGCAGGGTGTTCAAATACTTCTGTTCCTCACTGTATTGCTGCACAATTCTGGTGAGAACTGACCCTAAACAAAGACTATAGCCAAACAGCATTTCAAATCACACTTTTTTTTTCTTTTTAAAGTTTCTAGTCTTTGGGATCTAAAGAATGTGTCTCCCCTTTCCCCCTTTAGTCATAATACTGGTTACATCATTTACAAGTGACTTGTCGCACAGTATAGAAGATAAGGTTGTCTGAATCTAGGTTGGCTTTAACCCTTCTCTCACCCCATGGTTGTATGAGTTAACGTACTATTAAACCCTCAGTGGGTTTTTAAATTTTCAATAGCATAAGGGAGGGTTATAACCCCTGTCAGGTTTTTTTTTCCTGCCATCTGTGTCCCAATGGGGAGATTTCCCTTCACTTCCTGTCCCATAGCCAAAACAGGAAGTGAGAGGAAATGCCTGCAAATTAAGGGTATTCCTAGCGGACCCCCAGGTCACCAGAACTAGTGTCCCCATTGGAAGATGTCCCTTCTATTAATGGGAACAACCTAAAATTTGGGATTTTCTTTTACTTTCACTTTCAATGAAAATGGTAACAGGACAAGTAGAGAGGGTGAATCATGGTAACGGGGGCACAGACCACAATAGAAACTGAGGTTCTAATCCCTCTCCATTCTATCCAAAATTAAATAAAAAGTTTTGTCTTTAGTTCTACAAGTGAGAGGACATCCTTCTAAACTGAGCGAATCCTTTATTGTCATCATAGTCCCCATTAGAAGATTTCCCATCTATTCTTCTTCTGGGGAAAACCCTAAATTTGGGATTTACTTTTGCTTTTGGTGTTAACCTTAAACTAGACACATAAGAGCAGCACAGTGGCTAAATAGTTAGCACTTCCACCTGGCAGTACTAGGGTCGTTGGTTTGAATCCCAGCCACGGCACCTCCAGCCTGGAGTTTGCATGTTCAACCTGTGCCTGCACGGGTTTCCTCTGGGTACTCCGGTTTCCTCCCACACTCCAAAGACATGCTTGTAGGTTATTTGGATCTTGTCTAAATTGGCCCTAGTATGTGTATGTATGAATGTAAGTTAGGGACCTTAGATTGTATGCCCCTATATAAGTACCTTAAATAAATAATAATAAAATAAGAGTGAATCTTCAGGGGCACAAACAGCAATAAAAAAAATGAAAGATGTTCTAATCACTCTGCACTTGCCCTCCAGAGGATTTACCCTCCTTGACCAGGCCATTTTTTGAGTTATGGCGCTGCGTTACTTTGAGTGACAATTGCGCAGTGTTGAGAAAAAAACTATATTTTTGTACTTTTTGCTATTAAATGTCCAGTAAAAAAATTTAAAAAATCAAATTTCGTTATAAATTTACTCCAAAATGTATTCTGCTCCATGTCTTTGCTAAAAAAATCCCAATATGTATAAATTAATCGGTTTACATGAACATTATAACGTTTACAAATGGAGGTATAGATGCTGGAATTTTGGGTTTTTTTTTTTACTAGTAATGGCGGTGATCAGCAACTTATTCTGACTCTGGGGGGAACTGACTTGGTGTCACTGACATCCCCAATGACACCAATATAGTGATCAGTGCTAATAAAAAAAGCACTGACACTGTAGTAATGGCACTGGGGGGGAAAGGGTTAACATGAGGGGTGATCAAAGGGTTAACTGTGTGCAGGGAGTGTTTTACTATGGGGCCATGTAAGTATGCTTCACTGTAATCACACTGCTTTGGATGGCTATGCTGTGCATCAGCCTTTACTCAAGATGGCCACAAACAGAAATGCCAGGGGGTATATTTTCAAATTGATTTCTCAGCATAATAAATGGAGACATGGGTGGATGGGGGAGTTTGCACTGAATATTAACAATGAATTAAATGGCACTTTTGGTTAGAGGTGCCCAGATGCAGTGCAGTTCCACTTTAATTCTCTAAGGTTCCACAATACAAACCTCCACAGTCTGCAAGCTCCTCACAGCAACTGCTAATACAATTCCCATGATCATGCAGAGTGTATTCATATGTGAGGCAGTACTGCAGGTGTATGATATACACGGTCAGTACTGCAGGCGTGTGGTGTACGCGGCCAGTACTGCAGGCGTGTGGTGTACGCGGCCAGTACTGCAGGCGTGTGGTGTACGCGGCCAGTACTGCAGGCGTGTGGTGTACGCGGCCAGTACTGCAGGCGTGTGTACGCGGCCAGTACTGCAGGCGTGTGGTGTACGCGGCCAGTACTGCAGGCGTGTGTGTACGCGGCCAGTACTGCAGGCGTGTGGTGTACGCGGCCAGTACTGCAGGCGTGTGGTGTACGCGGCCAGTACTCCAGGCGTGATGTACGCGGCCAGTACTGCAGGCGTGTGATGTACGCGGCCAGTACTGCAGGCGTGTTTTATACGTGGCCAGTACTGCAGGCGTGTGATATACGTGGCCAGTACTGCAGGCGTGTGATATACGTGGTCAGTACTGCAGGCGTGTGATATACGTGGTCAGTACTGCAGGCGTGTTTTTATTCGTGGTCAGTACTGCAGGCGTGTTTTATTCGTGGCCAGTACTGCAGGCGTGTTTTTATTCGTGGCCAGTACTGCAGGCGTGTGATATATGCGGTTAGTACTGCAGGTGTATGGTATATGTGGCCGCTCCGCTGTCTCTCTATCCCATTGAGCTCTCTCGCTGCACACAGGCATCCCGCCGGTCAGACTCTACACGTCACGTGCCGGGGTCCTGAGCGTGATGACAACAAAGATGGCGGCTCCCATAGGAAGGTTGACGTGTAAGGCAGTGAAGTTGGGTGTAAGGTGGGTGATGCTTACATGTTTGGCAGAGACATGAGACACGCACCTTACAGACACTGTCACTGATGTCACACGCAGAAAGGCAGTAAAGCGGAGGCTCAGTAGTGTGATAACAGTACGAGTCCCCTGTGTGTGTGGAGGGGGAGGTGATGAGACTTGTAGCTGGTGTAATGCTGGGGGAAACTCCGATAAAGTCAGGACAAAGTGGACAGAAATGGAGATGGAGCTCTGGGGATTAAAGTGACGCTGAACTCCAGGCAGACATCTGAATTCAGGGATGGGACACACATGGGGGGGGAGGGGGTATTACCCGACAATGGATTGGTATTTGTGTCCATCCAGTCCTCTAACTGCAGATCAAATCAAATGTGATCCCTGACATCACCAAAGGGCCACACATAATGTTCCATATATGTAATGCTTGAGAATTCTGTCAGAACCTGCAGATTTATTAGAAGAATTGAGGGTCAGAGAGTGTGGCCATTATCTACACTATGTTGCCAAAAGTATTGGGACTCCTGCCTTTACACACACATGAATTTTAATGGCATCCCAGTCTTAGTCTGTAGGGTTCAATATTGAGGTGGCCCACCCTTTGCAGCTATAACAGCTTCAACTCTTCTGGGAAGGCTGTCCACAAGGTTTAGGGAGTGTGTCTATGGGAATGTTTGACCATTCTTCCAGAAGAGCGTTTGTGAGGTCAGGCACTGATGTTGGATGAGAAGGCCTGGCTCCCAGTCTCTACTCTATTCATCCCAAAGGTGTTCTATCAGGTAGAGGTCAGGACTCTGTGCAGGCCCGTCAAGTTCCTCCACCACAAACTCGCTCATCCATGTCTTTATGAACCTTGCTTTGTTCATTGGTGCTCAGTCATGTTGGAACAGGAAGGGGCCATCCCCAAAAACTGTTCCCACAAAGTTGGGAGCATGGAATTGTCCAAAATGTCTTGGTATGCTGATACCTTAAGAGTTCCCTTCACTGGAACTAAGGGGCCAAGCCCAACCCCTGAAAAACAACCCCATACTATAATCCCCCCTCCACCAAACTTTACACTTGGCACAATGCAGTCAGGCAAGTACCGTTCTCCTGGAAAACGCCAAACCCAGACACATCCATTGGATTGCCAGACAGAGAAGCGTGATTCATCACTCCAGAGAACATGACTTCACTGCTCTAGAGTCCAGTGGTGGCGTGCTTTATACCACTGCATCCGATGCTGTGTATTACACTTGGCGATGTAAGGCTTGGATGCAGCTGCTCGTCTGTGGAAACCCATTCCATGAAGCTCTCTACACACTGTTGTGCTAATCTGAAGGCCACATGAAGTTTGGAGGTCTTTAGCTATTGACTCTGCAGACGGTGACTTCTGTGCGCTTCAGCATTCACTAACCCTGCTCTGTCATTGCACGTGGCCTACCACTTCGTGGCTGTTGTTCCCAGTTGCTTCCACTTTGTTATAATACCACTAAACAGTTGACCGTGGAATATTTAGTAGCAAAGAAATTTCACGGATGGGCTTATTGCACAGGTGGCAACCTATCACAGTACCACGCTTGAATTCACTGAGCTCCTGAGAGCAACCCATTCTTTCACAAATGTTTGTAGAAGCAGTCTGCATGCCTAGGTGCTTGATTGTATGCACCTGTGGCCATGGAGGTGATTGGAGTCCAATGGTTTGGAGGGGTGCCCAATACTTTTGGCAATATAGTGTATTTTTAGCTGGGAATATGCCACAGAAATCAATATGAAACTGGGAACATGTTATATAAAGCTAGTAAAGATCAAGGATATTATCCTAATCAATGTTCCTGTGTCAGGAATGGGCTCAGCACAGGTGGTGCTGGGGCTCACCTGCCTTGTGGGCTGCAGTACCAGTGCTGGCCAGCGGGTGCTCTCAGCAGCCAGAATCTCACTCCTGCAATCAAGCCATCACCTGAGGCTGATTGCAGGAGGTGTATTTAAGCAATGGCCAGACCTGCAGTCAGTGCCTTGGTGTTTGTTTCCCATGAGCCCCTGTACCTGGTATCCTGTGTTCCTGCATATCTGCCTATCTGATTTGTTGCTGACCCTGCTTTGATCCTGACCTCTGCTGACTTCTCCTGCCCTGATCCCTGGCCTTTCTGACTTCTCTTGGATACCCTCATTGGATCTGATCTCCTGTTACTGACCCGGCGAGTGACCCGACTATTCTGTGCCTGTTGCCTTGTACCGTGCTGTCCCCACCGTTACCGACCCGGCCTGTCTGACTACGCTTCTGCTCAGCCATCCATCCGTCCTGCACGGACCCATCCGCCTCTTCACATCAGGCTCTCCTCCAGAATATACCTCTGGCGGGTCCCTCTACCACGGGTGGGTATACTCAGGGGCTGCGACCTGGTCTCTGTCTGCTCCAAGTCCATCCCCACCATCAGGGGCCCTGGTGAACAGGCAGACTGGGACTTAGACTCCGCACTCTGGGGAATCCTGTTCCGTGGGTTGCTAGATGTACCGCCAGATGGTGCATTACAGACCCATACGGCCTGCCTGACCATTACACCTCTCCAGCCCTGACCACGCCTGTGTTCCCACACATTTCTGGTCATACCCGGATCCCTGACATCCTGCTACAGACTGCTGAGGCCAGAGGGCTGCACATCATATAGCAAAGGGCCGCAGGTTGGGCACTAGTGCATTACACACTACAACAAGGAAGATGGGCAGAGCCAGCACAATACATTGTATTCCTCATCAAATTTAAAGTGTATGTAGGTCCAAAATCCATGTTCTTACTATGTTTACCATCACACTGCACTGTATACCATTTTCTTAAAGCTGAACATCACCTAAAACAGGAAGCTCCATGCATCCTCCTCCACCCTCATCATTGCACTTTTTTTTTGGAGTGGGTACCTTTTTCTGACAGATACCTGCTCCTACTTCCACAGTTTTTGCTTGGGCAAGAGGAGCAAAAGTTTGCCCCCCGTCCTGTCCACCCGCAACCTCCTGGGACACATCACGCATTCCAGGAGTCTGCAGGACCAGTCCAAAAGTGCAGCACATCAGGGAGCTGGTTGTGAAACAGCAGGAATTCACTTCCAGCTTCCCATAAGCAAGACGGTGGTGCCAGGGACCCGAAAACAGGCAAAGAACCAGGTGAGGACAGCGCTGGACTGTTGGGTTGGTGATTACAGTATTTGCAGCTGCTGACTTTTACTTTTTGTATAAATTACTGTAGTTCCTCATGAAGGAGGAACTTCCCTCGCCTTTTACCTGTTATTCTGGGTTCTCCTCAATTCACAAACTCGCCTGCCTGATAAAGTCCGCTGCTTAGTTGTCACGCTGCCGTCTTCCCCTTTGATGTTATTGGGTGCCTGGCTGCCTCTTCCTTGCTGTTGCAGCCGCACTCTGTTGACATGCCCACCAGCCACTGTGAGTCCCTGTTCCTGCAGCCTCCTGGGATAACCCAGAAGGCTGCAGGTGCAGGGACACATCCATTCTCACCTAGTCAAAATAGAGGCGGGAAATGGGACCAGAGCAAAAAAGAAATAAGGAAAAAGTAAATGCAGTTATTACATTACAGAGGAATGCTGGTAGTTAAAAGTAGCTCCCAGGAGTGAAGGTCGACTTTCTGCTCTAAAGCCCTATTGACTCAGGTGATCCAATCAGATCCACCAGTCAGTTTTTCAGGCAGACCTGGTCCATGTATCCCTATGGACTGGCGCGTGTTAACGGACTTTTGACAGACTCCATTTACATCTGCTTAACTACAATCTGATACATTCCGCTAAAAAAGAGATGGAAGGGGATTCCCTCATCCTCTGTCTAGGCTGATCAGATCAAAAGGTGGTCGGGTGTAAACAAACAGCAGAGGCTAATTACTTCCAGCCTCCCATAGAGGAGAGCGGGCTCTGTCTGTGTCTACTCTACATAAACTGAGCCATCACAGACCTGTCATCCGCCCGCTGTGCTCTGCTTAGCAGGGGATCAGCACACCGGTCCCCTGCTAAGCAAAATCAGATTCCACCAGTGAAAGGGGCTTAGCCACTGACTTGTAATTAACAACAGTGTGGTCATCCTGCTGTACAAGCTTCTTGAGTTTGCTTATCAGTTCCTTAAAGGCATGACCGGAAAGGCAGCTTAATGGCCAGCTGAAGGAGCACACACAGTAATCTGACAGTGCCCTTGCTGATTGCAGGGTTGTGGCTTAGTGTTGACAGCTTGATTAGGAAGTGCTGTTACTGGCAAGATCTCCAGTGAGGAAATTGCACCAGATTCACAAAAATTATTTGTTTAAAGCGGAGTTCCACCCAAAAGGGAAGTTTTTCACTATAAGCCTTTGTCTCCCTCTCCCCATTTAAGGATTGGCACCTTTGGGGAGGGGGGAAGCAGAAGTTGTCCCCCACCGCCCGCCCCCCCTTCCCAAAGTTTTCTGGGACACGTAACAGGTCCCTGAAGACTGCGGGGCAATTCACAAAGCGCATCGCTTTTTGCGCATGTGCAGTGGGCTCCCGGGTGAGAAGCCACAAGCTGTCAAAGCCGGGTACCCACACTGAAGATGCCGTGCCAGGGAGAGAAGATGGCTGGTGAAACCAGCGGTGGTGATACCGCTAGACCGAGGGACAGGTAAGTGTCTGTATTGTAAAAGTCAGCAGCTACAGTTTTTGTAGCTGCTGACATTTTATTTATTTATTTTTTTTCAGCTGGAACTCGGCTTTAAGACACTTGTATACAGTGAGACATGATGGCTAGCATACTGAAAAATTTATTTTCGATACATATACATTAAGATAGATGCTGAAGTGGTGATGATGCCAAAGAGTGTATGTGGCAATAGTACAGGTTGCTATTCACCTGTATATTCAACTGTACTACATCTTACCATTGTGCAAACTGGGAGAAATAAAGTTGCAAAGCTATGTCTGGTACTTTGGGGAACAGAATTCTGCCTGATTTGCCAGGAAATATTTGGCACCCTCTGAAAAATTGGTAAAGACTTTTGCACCTACTGAATGCAGGAAAGAGTACAGAAAAAGAACCTACGGGGAGCTGACATTGATGTGTGATAGGTGTCAGAACAGGAAGAAAGGTGGAACACAGACAGCAATAATAACCTGACAGAGCTTCAAACCTTCCTGAGATCTGTCCAAAGCAAAAAATAGGTTCCCTCAAATTGGAGGCATTTCATTCTAATTCCTGTTTTGTCTATAGGATGGGAAGAAAATTAACATTTTCCCCATTTAATCTAGTAGGATCACATACAGCAGATGTTTTTTTATATAGATATATTTATTGTAGTTTTTTTCCCTAATGAGCACACCAACAAAACATAGAAGTTGAAAAAAGAAACTAGAAAAGCTACAATTTCTGGGGAAACTGTGTGAAGTGTTCTTGCCTCCACCAGTAGTCTACAACTGGAGTGGGCGGAGTAACTGGGTGGATCGGCTTGAGTAACTGTGAAAAGTTCAATGGGCGGCGTGAGTTGCAAACTAGTTTTGAACATTCTGCCATTCATTCCTATGAGACCAATTTCACCACAAAAATGGCGATATTTCGTGAACCCTTCGGCGAAACATTCCACAATGTAATAGCACACCAATTGGGAACAATCCGCACGTTTCGGTATATTACTGTCTATGTAGTGTAAAAACTGTGGGAGGAGTTAGGTTGGTAAATTTGGCTATAATAATAAGACTAGAAGGGTTCCTATGGCAACTCACTCTACAGCAAGGGCAGAGGAGCGGTTAAAAACAAACTGCTCCAACTTGCTCACTTCACTGGCAGTTGCCATCTTCAAATGGTTGTAGTTTAAAAATTATAAATCCTACACCGAAGAGCTTTATATTGTGAGAATCACAAGACCCAGACCTACATTTTGATGCATAGTATGTCTCTGAAATATTAAAAAGGAAGACACAATCGCAGTTTAAATATTGCCCTTCAAATTTCAGGTGGCTAGAGTGGAGTTTCAATGAATGTCAATGGGTGGCGTGAGTTGCAAACAAATGGTCATATTGTGAAGACTATCAGGACTATGGCCTAGCCGTGGACATTTTTAGTGGCAGCAGGGATAGCTGAACGTTTTGATATAATTTTGTGTAGGTGGGCTTGAAAATGAGGGAGTGATGGCAGTTTAGAAATCATGTACTGATTTTTCACTCTAGCTTTTGTCAGCCCCCACTCTAGTTTTGAGCATTGCGCCATTCATTCCTATGGGACCAATTTCACCACAAAAACGCTGATATTTCGTGAACCATTTGGCAAAACGTTCCACAAAGTAATAGCACACTAATCGGGAACAATCCGCACGTTTCGTTATATTACTGTCTATGTAGTGTAAAAACCGTGGGAGGAGTTAGGGTGGTAATTTGGCTATAATAATAAGAATATATATGTGAGATAACAGTAAGTGGTCTTGCCATGCAAGAACACTTAAAAAAAACAAGTCAACGAGTGACCACGCAAGGTCTGACAGTTCACACAGAATAGAAAACATCGGTGTAGAGACCTTAACAAAGTATAAAGCGCTGCACAAATTGTTGGTGCTATATAAATCCTGTATAATAATATTAACTAGAAAATCTACAATTTCTGGGGAAATTGTGTGAAGTGTTCTTGCCTCCACCAATAGTCTACAACTGGAGTGGACGGAGTAGCTTTTGTCACTCTGCTGCCTGCTCACACACCTGGGTTCCTATGGCAACTCACTCTACAGCAAGGGCAGAGAAGAACTGTTAAAAACAAACTGTTCCAAGGAGCTCACTTCACTGGTGGTTGCCATCTTCAAACGCTTGGTAAATTTGGCTATAATAATGATAAGAATATATATGTGAGATAATAATAAGTGGTCTTGCCATGCAAGAACATTTAATTAAATGTTCTTGCATGGCAAGACCACTTACTGTTATCTCACATATATATTCTTATTATTATAGCCAAATTTACTACCCTAACTCCTCCCACAGTTTTTACACTACATAGACAGTAATATACCGAAACGTGCGGATTGTTCCTGATTGGTGTGCTATTACTTTGTGGAACGTTTCGCCAAATGGTCCATTGACATTCATTGAAACTCCACTCTAGCCACCTCAAATTCGAAGGACAATTTCTAAACTGCGACTGTGCCTTCATTTTTAATATTTCAGAGACATACTATGCATCAAAATATATTTTTGGGTCTTGTGATTCTCACAATATAAAGCTCTTCGGTGTAGGATTTATAATTTTTAAAATACAACCGTTTGAAGATGGCAACCGCCAGTGAAGTGAGGAAGTTGGAGCAGTTTTGTTTTTAACCACTCTTCTCTGCCCTTGCTGTAGAGAGCGAGTTGCCATAGAAACCCAGGTGTGTGAGCAGGCAGCAGAGTGACAAGCCACTCCACCCAGTTACTCCGCCCACTCCAGTTGTAGACTACTGGTGGAGGCAAGAACAATTCACACAATTTCCCCAGAAATTGTAGCTTTTCTAGTTAACAGTGTTATGCACTCCAGAGTAAATTACTTAATATGCATAGATAGCAATAAAGCAGGATCTAAACATCTCGATCTAGAGAGGTCAAGGTAAGGGGATTAGCAATCCACCTACCCCAAAGCTTATATATAAATAGTTTCCGTTTCTTCCTCATTTCAAAAGTGAGCCTATATAGTGGGAAGGAATCATTAATAAGTTTAAGCAATTGTGGTATAGCTGGCACCACTGACCCCTTCCAGGACAAAATGCATATTAACCGTTTAGCATATTTAGAGCTAATCTCCAAAGATTCCCAAAAGGCAAATTTTATTAGGTACACCTTGCTAGTGCCAAGAAAATATCCCCCACACCACTACACCCACCAGCCTGAACTGTTGATACAAGGCGGGATGGATCCATGCTTCCATGTTATTTACTCCAAATTCTGACCCTACCATCTGAATGTCGCAGCAACCAATCTGCCCATTTTACTCTGACATCAACAAGGCATTTTTGGCTGCACAACTGCCTCTCACAGGATATTTTCTCTTTTTGCAGACCATTCTCTGTAAACCCTAGAGATGGTTGTGCGTGAAAATCCCAGTAGATCAGCAGTTTTTGAAATACTCAGACCAGTCCGTCTGGCACCAACATCCATGCCACATTCAAAATAACTTAAATCCTCTTCCCTATTCTGATGCTTGGTGTGATGTTCAACAAGTCTTCTTCACCACGTTTAGATGCCCAAACAGTGGCCAAGATGGGAGCTTCCTTGGATGAAAAGGATCAGAGGGTTTAGTTCCATTTGAACGGTTTGGTGTTCAGCGTTAACATACTTCCATACGTTTAGCCAGTTATGCAACACTGTGATAAACCTGATGCTAACAGTGTCTTGTGCCGTGCATGGACGGCACAAGACACACAAGCCTTTGCTAATTTTATGCTGAATTATTGGATAAAGCTTTTTGTAATTTACATTGAAAATTGTCATGCAGCATTCCAAGTGTCTTGGGATCCTTTAATGAGTAGTTTGCGTTGTTTTGCATTCATTCACCATAACCTTTTTTTTTTCCCTTATACATTTAGGTTTTATCACCCTGCAGGAAGTGAGCTTTCTTCCACTCGAACGCACACAGTTTATCCATTTGCACCACGGAAACATCATTTGCCATTCAAAGTATTCCTTAACCAAGGTATTCTTATTTGTGTCATTCTTGTCAATTTTCTTTTAAGAAAGAAGAGTAGAGAATGATTATAAGTCACAATATCATCTTCTTACTCATTCTGTTACCTTTCTTATCAACATTGTAATGCATAAACATTTAGTAGGAATGTGACACTTCTGCATGTTTCTGACCCCAGCTGCTGCTCCTCCCTTATGCTAAGCCATCAGGTTTTTCCACTGACAATGTTCACATCTTCAGTTACTTGATTAAAGCCCAACTCTGGAAAACTGGAAAATCCTCCTTGCAGTGAGTGTGTGGCCTCAGCCCACAGTTAACTCTTTGTTTATGCTAGCTGAGAGTAAAAACGCTTTCATGATGCTCCCCATGATTTTACGGTGGATTGTCGGTCGGCATCATCAAGTCCAATGCAGTGCTAGGGTAATTGCATTGGTCTTGATGATGATAGGATCTTAGACCATGAACCATGGGGTAGAGGACTCTCTGGGGACCTATCTTGGAGTGTGGAGGATTGAGTAAGTATCTTACTCAAGTAAGATTTTCTTTGTTTTTTTTGTTTTATATGACACTCCCTCCCCCTGCCTCCACTGTGTCATCCATCTGCCTTCACATTTTGCAGTACAGAGCGCTCTCCTATTCCTTGTCTCCCAGTTGGTTTCACACTTTAGGGTGCGGAAAAACAAAGACTTGTTAACTACACTAGCTTAGGATCTGCACTATGTACCCTTCGCCACAGAAAAGAAAATGCAGGTGTTGAAGTTACTCTGACCCTAAAGAAAAAGACTTTTTGTTTAGGGTCAGAGTAACTTCAATACCTGCAGTTAAAGTGTAACACTGGTAAAAATACTATATAAAAGTATATGAATGTATGTTGAATGCATGTGGCTGGCAGGAGCTATACTCACACCTTCATAAAAACAAGATTTGTTGGATTTTAAATTCATCGGGGGGGGGGGGGGGGAGATTGCTTTTGCGTAGGTAATCTTCAACTGGTTTAACGTAAGTAGGTTTATTGTGCCCTGAGTTGACCATTCACATAATAAAAGGTGAAAAGAAAGGCTGTTATCTTTCCTGTGAATGGCAGCCAGTCATGTGACCCCATGCTTAGACATTGGTCAGATAATGGGGAGAATTAGAATCCAACCAGAACTGCTGTTTTGGCAAGCTCACCTTGAGCATTAGTCCCCCTAGTCTTTAATAATATAGGGTGCTTTAGTAGGATAGGTCAATCCCAAATACCATAGCTTCTAATGTGTACTCAGAATACACTATAGTTTCCATATAAAGGCATGCTGTATTCAGATGTATTTCGTTCACAGAGGGGGTAATCTACCTGTATATAGATTTTCATCTCCTCTTTTATTTCATGTTCTATGCCTAATGCTCTGCAGATTCCCATTGCCTCTAGTAACCAGTCTTGTAAAATTCCCTATTCCCATGTCTGCCTTTCTGACATACTCCTTGCATACAAAGGAGTCAGCAGATCCCAACTTTAACCTGTCTTAAAACAAAACAGCATTCATAGTATGCACTTCTACTTAGTGACACTAAACAATATCATTATTCTCCAAAAGTAATCCACACACACCCACTACTTAATGGCCCTGTAATCTATTTTTCATGAAATTGTTTATTACTGTGTTTTTCTGCCTCCTTTATAATGTTCTGCATGAGCTCCAGAACCTCCCCTTCTCCCCCTCACTTCCTTTTGTTTGGAACAAGCAGTGAAAATTAGTTGTGGTCATGTACAATGTTCTCTTTATACCACAAATCGAATAGTCCATAGTCTCTAGTTTATTAAAGGGGCGATTAAAAGAGGGTGGCTAAGTTCCTACATACAGTGGGACCATAGAGAACTAACAGGCAGTTGGATCACAGCAGGAAAAAAGAATGGAGCATTAGAGACAGTTGAGAGGAAAAAAAGTACGTTTTTTAATTAAGAATACATACTTGAATAGAAAATTTATTTTTTAAATCAGTATTTTGTCACTTTAATTATGTTCAATCCGGGACCATGTAATTGTACCTCCAATTAAGCTCTATGGCAGGCTGTAGGAATGTAATGCAGAATGACTGACAGACTGTCATTTAACTCTGAGGCACTCTGAAAACTTTGCTCATTGTATCTGAAAGTGATCATGAAATTACAGTGGGGATCGAAAGTTTGGGCACCCCAGCTAAAAATTTGTATTAATGTGCATAAAGAAGCCAAGGAAAGATGGAAAAATCTCCAAAAGGCATCAAATTACAGATTAGACATTCTTATAATATGTCAACAAAAGTTAGAAATTTCCATCATTTACACTTTCAAAATAACAGAAAACAAAAAAATGGCGTCTGCAAAAGTTTGGGCACCCTGCAATGTTAATATCTTGTACTGCCCCCTTTGCAAGCTGAGACCTGCCAGTGTCATGGATTGTTCTCAATCATCAACTGGGAAGACCAGGTGATGTCAATCTCAAAGGTTTTAAATGCCCAGACTCATCTGACCTTGCCCCAACAATCAGCACCATGGGTTCTTCTAAGCAGTTGTCTAGAAAACTGAAACTGAAAATAGTTGACGCTCACAAAGCTAGAGAAGGCTATAAGAAGATAGCAAAGCGTTTTCAGATGTCAATAGAATGTAATTAAGAAATGGCAGTCATAAGGAACAGTGGAAGTTAAAGCAAGATCTGGAAGACCAAGAAAAATATCAGACAGAACAGCTCGCAGGATTGTGAGAAAAACATTCAAAACCCACGTTTTCACAGATCTGGCAGACACTGGAGTTGTGGTACACTATTCCACTATAAAGAGATACTTGTACAAATATGGTTCAGAAGAAAACCTCTTCTACGTCCTCACCACAAAAATCATCGTTTTGAACTTTGCAAATGAACATATAGACATGTCTGATGCATTTTGGAAACAAGTTCTGTGGACCGATGAGGTTTGAACTTTTTGCCGGAATGAGCAAAGGTACGTTTGGAGAAGAAGGGGCACAGAGAATTTAATGAAAAGAACCTTGTCCAACTGTTAAGCATGGGGTTGGATCAATCATGCTTTGGGGTTGTGTTGCAGCCAGTGGCACAGGGAACATCTCACGAGTAGAAGGAAAAATGGATTCAATAAAATTTCAGCAAATGTTGGATGGTAACTTGATGCTATCTGTGAAAAAGTTAAAGAGAGGATGGCTTCTACAAATGGATAATGATCCTAAACACACCTCGAAATCCATGGGGGATTACATCAAGAGGCGTAAACTGAAGGTTTTGCCATGGCCTTCACAATCTCCTGACCTCAACATAATTGAAAATCTATGGATAGACCTTAAAAGAGCAGTGCGTGACAGACAGCCCAGAAATCTCAAATGGAAAGACTTTTGTAAGGAAGAATGGGCAAAGATACCTCAAACAAGAATTGAAAGACTCTTGGCTTGCTACCAATGCCAAAGGGGGCAGTGATATTAACTCTGCAGGGTGCCCAAACTTTTGCAGACGCCATTTTTTTGTTTTCTGTTATTTTGAAAGTGTAAATGATGGAAATAAAATCTAACTTTTGTTGACATATTATTAAGAATGTCTAATCTGTAATTTGATGCCTTTATGAGATTTTTCCAAGCTTCTTTATGCACATTAATACAAATTTTAGCTGGGGTGCCCAAACTTTCGATCCCCACTGTATCATGTAAAGCCGAAGATAAATTGAGTCTTCTTGACTTCACAACTCTTGCACTGTTTCCTGGAAGGTTTTAAATGATTTTGCTGTAGTAGAAAAGATTATTGGGTGATGTTAACAAATGTTGCTTGTGCTTTTACAGTAAAAGTTATGTTTTTTGATCTGTATTCCATCTCTCTCCCAGCACGATGTATGTTTATCCAGACACAGGATACCCCCAAACCCCAACAGTGTGAAGTTTATCCCTGGAAGAACGGTTCTAGATGCAAGAACTATGGATTTCCCAACCACAGCCTCTGCTTACTGCTCTCCTCTTGCTAGGTAAGTACTATTAGTGATATGCAAAGACACTAGTGGAATGATTGATATAGAATTCAGGTGCTGATCTGTCCAGTGTATGGGGATCAGTGCTGTTCAGGGACAAGACAATGGGTTGTTTTATTGACTGCAACAGAAAAGACTATTAACAGCATTATCAACATACAGTATAAGCCAAGTTAGCACTTCTCAGATCCATAGGGGAATGTTCCATGTAGTATACACAGACATTCTGTGTTACAGTTAAATGAAATCAATAATACAGTTTTGGTTTGGGAGACAGGAATAAAAATCTGAGGCAAAACTTATAATTAACCTTGCATTATAGATCTCTGGTGTTGAAGTTCCATAATTTTCTCCTTTACTCTGTTAATGCCAATGTACCTGTCCGCTTCTCTCTGTGCACTCACTATCTTATAATTAACTTGATTTCTTCCTTATGTATTTGATTGCCCTGTGTTTCACAGTGAATTCCTAGCAAAAGGAAAACCATTTTACAGAATAAATTTGTGTTCTTTATTCTTTAACCACTTCCCAACCGCCCTATAGCAGTTTTACTGCTACAGGGTGACCACTCTGCACAAAATCACGTACATATGTTCATTTCCTCATATTAACCCATATAACTTGTTACATTTATTACTAAACAAAAATATTTGGTGAAAAGATACCCTTTTCTTCAAAAGCTTACATTGTATAATGATAACTGCTTGGCACCATAAAGAGTAGAGGTGCCTATATGATACAAATGTCTGTAGGTATTACATAATGTGTCATATATTAAACATCCCATGCTGAATCCTTCTTGGGAGGAACATTTTTGGCTAGGGTGGATTTTTCAATGGCCAATCACTATTGTTTTCCTCCCAAAGGAATCTTCGTCCTCCCTCCTCCATAAGCACATGCCATATTGCTTACATAGCTAGTCTGGCTGTAAAAAGACAAAAGTCCATCCAGTTCAACCACTAAAAAAAAAAAATGCTTAAGTGTACATATTTGTGCCATGCTTTTTAGAAAGATCATATAAATTGTATATCCTGCACTTATAAAACAAATGGGAATAATTATCAATTCTTCATAAAGCTGCTCACACCCAACAGTGTACCCCCCTGGTAAGCTATAGGGTCATCAGCGTAAATACAATAAATTATATGATGATTGTATAAGGAAACAGGCAAATAAACAAATTCTTCCTGTTTAACACACTGTAAACTATCAATAATGCATATGCAAGGTGAATAATATAAAATAAACTCATGTGAAGTGAAAATTATAAATCTTTGTGATTTACACAATAATTGATAATTGCCAAAAACATAATAAATCATGCTCTACTTCCTTTTCCAACCAGCAGGTGTTTGCTCTACTTCCTTTTCCAACCAGCAGGTGTTCGCTCTACTTCCTTTTCCAACCAGCAGGTGTTCCACACACGAGAGATGTTGTAGACAGAAATGATGTCATGGTTTATAGTTTTGTGTTTGGATTGGGGATGTCTGTAGGTAGCTTATGGTTTCTTCAATGAAAGGGTTGAAGTTTTGCTAAACTTAAAATATGGTTATGTTATGTGGCCAGGCTGTATACCATGCTTAAAGCCTAACTCTGGGTACAAATTCTTTCATCTAAACGTACTCCACAATAGCCTCAGAGGATATAAACCCACTTTGTGTGCACCATATACCTTTTGTAAAGTCAGATATTGCCTTATGAGCGAAGCAGTGATATCGGCACTGTGCTGCACATAGCCTGTGCAGAGCTGTGGGAGGGACCCAGCAGGTCCGTATACTACAGGCTGCCTGCAGAAAACAGGAGGGGCAGATATAAGACCAGGCACCGTGCATAAGGAGAAAAATCCTCAGTGACTGGCCTCTATTACAGGAAACTTCTGTACAGAGGCAAAGTGCAGCAGTTGTTTCATGCTGAGTTACTGCACAGATCTGGAAGAAATATATGAAGGTCAATAAGATTTAAGTAAGAATACACCTGGTTCATGTAATTAAGACAATGGGGTAGATTTACAAAAACTGGAGCACTCAAAATCTGGTACAGCTGTGCATGGTGGCCAATCAGCTTCTATATTCAGCTTTAATTAAGTTTTGGCAATAAAACTTGGATGGTGATTGGTTTCTATGTAGAGGTGCACCAGATTTTGCACTCTCCAGATTTAGTAAATGACCCCCAAAATTTGTTTAGCCTGGTGTTCACATTTTAAGAATTTACAAATGCTTGCTTTCTTGGATTCCAGACTTGTTACTTGTAACCTAAGGCATAGATTAGTATTTCATACACTGATCTTTTGTATGCAGACATCTTTTTAGAGTCGAAGGGGTAAAAAGCGTCTTCCTTGGGCCAGATTTCATTACGATCACAAAGGTAAGGACAGCAATCAGGAGAGGGGCTTATTAAATTTTAATAATTGTTTTATCTCATTGAATAATTGTTGAATCTCCAATAACAGGAAAGTGAAGAGATAGACTGGAACCTAATAAAGCCTGACATATATGCAACCATAATGGACTTCTTCTCTTCTGGCTTACCTATAGTGACAGAGGATGCACTTCGCAGTGAGACAGGTATGTTTACTAACTCATTACTTGACATTGCTGTAGTGTTGTATGTTTTGTAGCAGCTGAAAGAGGCAGTACAGTGTTCTCTGGGAAAGGCAAAGCAGGTTATTTGATGACTGATCTCAGCTGGAGATATGCAGCTTTCATATAATTTGGGCTGTTTTTTGGTTCTCTTTCTGCGTCTGCTGTTGTTTTTACCAGATTTTGTTCCACCATTCATACTGAACAAAAATGGTTTGGATCTACCAACTATACTGAACAAAAATGGTTTTGCATCTAGAAAATATATGGAACAAAAATGTTTTAAAAGCATCTTTTCGCAATGTTACTAGCCTGGCACACTATGTATGGGGGGCTAGTATCCGCATAACAAATGGAATGTGACAGTGCTCCCACCTGCTATATTGATACTAGTCTGTATGCCTGTTTGCATAGAGTTAGAAAGAATAGGCCCAAAAAAGCTGTCAGTCCCAACATCTGCTATTATGGTTCTCCAGGAGGGAGTATAATCCTCTTTCAGGGGTGGGTTATGTAACTGTATTACTCTTGTAGAGGTAATCTCATAATCCTTAACCACTTTCCTTCCAGAGTAATTTTCACTTACACTTTTTGTGCACATGTTAAAGTGATAAAAAAGGCTATTTTTTTTTCCCCTAAATAACAAACATGTCATACTTACCTGCTCTGTGTAATGGTTTTGCACAGAGCAGCCCCAATCCTCCTTTTCTTGGGTCCCCCGCCAGTGCTCCTGGCTCCTCCTCTTTCGAGTACCCCCTCTAGCAAGCCAATTGCTTTCGTTGCCCTCTGAGCCAAGTTGGAGACAGCTAGGTGGGCATATCCCTAGATCAGGATTGAGATTAGATGAGTATTAGAATGGACTGGGGGGAGAATTGCATAATGAAGGTTTTTTTTTTTTTTTTTTTTTTTTTTTTACCTGCATGCATTGAATGCATGAAGGTAAAAACCTTCGGTCTATACAACCACTTTAAAATCTGTATTTTTGCCTGTTAAATATCTTAAACCTCCCAGAACATTATATCTTTTCTGAAAGCAGAGGGCATGTGGAATAAAATAGTGGCATTTACATTTTTTATCTTGCACAATATTTTCACAACTGTTTATCACATCTATATTTTCAGGAAAAAATAACCTAAAATGAATTTTAGTGCACACAGACATAATTTAATCCCCATTTTTTGTACAAAATAAAAGATGAGGTAGTGTAGAATAAAGAAATACCAAGCCTCAAAACTACATGTTCCCACGATACGTCAAAAAATTACAGTACTCCAAAATTATCAATAGGCAATGCTTTACAGCTCATCAGTCTAGAGCAGTGGTTTGCAAACTGCGGCCCATGGGATGGATGTAGCCCTTTGCTCGCCTTTACATTGCCTTCACTGACACCAATGAGGCACCATTTCCACTAACACCAACAGTGCAGTATAAATCCTCCCATTGACACCAGGGATGGAGTACTATTCCTCCACTAATCAACAATAGGGACTATTCCTCCCACTAATACCAATGATAGGGCTCTATTCCTTCTCCTACAGACCAGATGTGCTATGTAATTGGTCTATGCCCACTGACCACCAAGGCTGAGGCTTTGTTTACTCCCACTGCTATGGGGGCATTTCCTACTTCCACTGGCCACAATTCAGCCCCCCTAAAGTCCAAAGAACAGTAAATTGGCCCTTTTGTTTTGGAGACCCCTGGTTTAGAATATACTGTAAATGATGAACCTAGAATTATTGCTCTCACTCTGACATTCACAGTAATTTGGAACTTCTGTGGTGCAATCAGTGTTTACATACACGTGCACACCCTTTGCGCGCATTAATGTGGATTAATGTGTCTGTAGGGTTGCATGGTGGTAACACATGGTCAAATGCACTTTTTTTTTTTTTTTTTTTTTCGTGCCTTACATTGTGGCACTATTAATTCCGAATAGCAATTCAAAGCACAAGTACAGAAGGAGGCAATACACCTAATATGCAGCACACCGTGATGACCATGTCATACTTTTGTGTTGCTTACCTTAAAATATTATTACAGGCTGGTTTTGATTTCATTGCTGTTCATTTGCAGCCCATTTTAAATTAAAAAGTTGCCTTAATAGACTGGAATTGAGAAACACTGCCTTAATAGAAGCACATAATATACACAAATACCATGCATTAAACACAAGTACCACACATTAACACACACAATAATCTTTATGCAGTAATACATCACAACTTACCCAGGTCTGAAGGTGCCCTAATGGGTTTTTCTTTGTGAGACCTCAGTTTATAGAAGGATAAAATTCCTACTTGTACCTTGTAAAACCATTAATGGGTAGATGGAATCCAGGGTGTAAGAGACAGTGGTTTAGGAATGCCTTTTTAGCTGGTGGCAGCTGTATTAATTGGAACTATACATGTCTACTTCCAAACATTACAACCCTTGTATATGTTTCTTCTTAAAGCTGCAACAGAAGAGGATGATGAAGTGGTGGCAATGATCAAAGAACTTCTAGATACGAGGATCAGGTAACTTGCACCCCACGCAGAGTCTGTCTTTCTTGTGGTGGACATATTCTAGAGTAGTGTTCATATTACTGAAAATTAGAACATCTAAAACAGCTTTGCTCTTAATACAGACCCATAAATCTGTCCCAGTCATGATTACTGGGTTAGTGAATCTGTGAGCATCAATTGTGTTGACGTAACATGGAAAATATGCATTTTTTTTTGTGCCTTATGTTGCAGCCTCATCATTTTTTAATAGCATCCCAAAACACAAGTACAGTAGGTGGAAATGCAACCTGATGTACCTGCACTTTGGGGTGCTGATGTAATGAATAGACAAAAGGCAGGCTGGAAAGAGTTATGAGTTTGGATAATACCAGGGTTATGGGTTTGGATGAAGACAGGTTCTTTGTGTGGTGTTGGACTGTGTAAATATAGAAAAATTCCTATTTCCAGTGACACACAGGGAATGCCTTGATATGCTAATTACAGTTTTTATATTACTTTTTGAAAATGTTATTACAGTAATCAATACACACATGCTAGTTCTTCGGAACAGTTGCATCTCAATGATCAGTCCTCAGTTGACTCACAGCAGCAGGATTGTAGTTCGCATTGTTTATCAGGAACTGTGGAAGATAGAGTGCAATAATACACATCCTACCTGTTTGAATGCCATGCTGTGAAAAGATCATAACATTTTCTGTATTTTGTTTTTCCATTTTGGATAAAGCAAGGGAAGGTTATAACCCTTTTTAGATTTTTTTGTTTTGTTTTTTTTTTCTTTCACCATCTGTGTCCGATTGCAGATATTTCCCTTCACTTCCTGTCCCATAACCCAAACCGGAAGTGAGAGGAAATACCTGCAAATTAAGGGTATTCCTTGGGGAACCCAAGGTCACCAAAACTAGTGTCCCCATTGGAAGATTTTCCTTCTATTACTGGGAACAACCTAAAATTTGGGATTTACTTTCACTTTCAATGAAAATGGTAACAGGACAAGTAGAGAGGGTGAATCTTGTTAACGGGGGCACAGACAGAAATAGAAACTGAGGTTCTAATCCCTCTCCACTCTATCCAAAATTAAATAACAAGTTTTGTCTTTAGTTATACTTTAAAATAAGTACATGAAACACATGCATTCTCTCCCTATGAGATCGACTTTCTGGAGTCATCAGCATTCAGTATATTTCAAATGTGATGGGCTCAATTCTTCCCTTTTTCTTACTGAGATAAAGGGAACAAGCATTACTTATGCCACTTCTGGTCATAAGCGTTCCAGGTGAGACGTCTGCATTCTATGTCTAGGCTATGAGATCTGCTTGTTTGACTCTTCATTGACCCATATTTTTTAGCCCATTTATTCAGTGTATGTAATCGTATGTGTAACTGCAGTGTTTCTTCTAAATATTACAGGCATACATGATACATATATCATACATGTGTTTTGTCTGTGGCTATCCCAATTACTTTACAGGAGTCATTCTTTCAAGAGATACATTTCACTGTCTGATTGGCCTCTCTTTCTTTAGTGTCCTGTGATATGTTTGATGGGTATTATAGGTTACTTTACTGGAGGGCATATGTGTTCTTGTAGTAATAGGATGGAACCAGGCAATGTGGTCTTGTAATGAATAGGACAACTACTCAAAGTGAAAACAATTTATAAAATATACTGTGTTGAAATTAAAAATTCTCCTTACCTTCCCCACAAGTTCGACCCTCAATACGAATTTCTTCTTTACAATTTGCACCTCAACGGTCAAATAACTGGGCATTAACATGCCATCTGACCCTGCCCAACTCTATGCCCTAAATTATGCACCACTCATGCAGGGGACTATGTAGGATTTAAAGTCTTATGACTGAAAGCAGTTCTCCTGGTTTGTCAGGATTAATATTTGATAATGGATATTATTCCTAGGTTTTTGTTTTTTATTTATTTATTTTTTATACATATTCCAGATACTACCTATAGTAGCCCCTTGCAAGTTTTTCAGAACTCTTTTAACTGCCATCACTACTTTCATCTGGACGCATAGCTAACCTCTCCTACAGAGGTCAGTTCTGTCTCTCCTTAAAGTTATAGGTGGAGCAGGGGCTGCTGCTGACCTCTTTTTGTGTCATATGGCTGCAGATTGATTAGTTGGTTCCATGGTGCGCCAAACAATGGGTATCTATAGAACAGGCCATAAATACATGTGAACTCCGCGCTCTCCCTTGGATCGACCTGGACCCAAGGTTCACCACTCCGTATTCACAGTCACCTTCTCACCATATGGGACCATAAAATTGAACCTATTGTCAATGGTGGGCCAAATGACCCCTTTATTTGGAATCCAGGTCTTCTCCCCATTCTTATTGATTTTTGAAGTGGGAAACGTCCGCAGCCTGGCTCCTTTCACAGATTTTGCCTTATCAAACTATCCCACCTCTAACTGTTGCCCTACCTGGGTACGCTACAGCCTCCACCCAGTGGCTTACTTATGGCTGTCTACGGTTCTTCTTCAACTCCTTATATCTCTGTCTGGAGGTAGCACACCTATGTACTGTAGAATCTATTGCTACAAGACTCATCGTCTAGACATACCGTCTTTGCTGTCTACAACATTCTCCTGTCCCAATTGCACACCAGCTTACTGGGCTATGTCCACAAATGGGCTGCTGAGCTTGAACCATAGTTTCATAGTTGTTAAGGTTGAGTAAAGACATCAGTCCATCCAATTCAACCTGTGTGGGTGTATGAGTGTGTATGTATATATGTCTCTACCAATTCTCATATCTCTGTGGATTGCATTCACTAAAATGCCTAAGAACTTTTTGAACTTATCAACACTCTCCACACACCACCAGTTGTGGAAAGGAGTTCCATATCCTTACCACTCTAACAGTAAAGAACTCCCTATGCAGTTTGTGATTAAACTGCTACTCATCCAACTTCATTGAATGGCCTTGTGTCTATTGAATGGACCTGAAATTGAAGTCTTGAAGATCCTGCGTTAAGATCACCATTTAGATATTGCAAACATATCTGCTCTTAAGCTTCTCTTCTCCTGGGAGAATAAGTTTAACTAGAAAAGCTACAATTTCTGGGGAATTTCTTGCCTCCAGCAGTAGTCTACAACTGGAGTGGGCGGAGTAACTGGGTGGAGTGGCTTGAGTAACTGTTGTGTGGTTGGAGTGGCTGGAGTAACTTTGAAAAGGTTGGACTGGGCAGAGTAACTTTATGGAGTGGGCAGAGTAACTGTGTGGAGTGTTTGGAGTGAGTAAAGATAGTAAACATTACACTAACCAATTGATTGATCAAATTTAAAAAGTGCACATGGCAAGCTTGATAGAGTGAGAAATGCATTTCAACTTTTATTTATTTATATAGCACATTTAATTGCAATGTTGTTGCCTAAAGTGCTTCACAGTTACATTAAAACATACATTTATAAAAACATTAGCAGCATTATCACCTCAAATACTCTCTACTGTAGAATACTTATTTCCAAACCTTTAACCAGAAGCCGGCCAAACTGTCACAAATTCAAAATTAGATTTCAAATAGGGCAGAGAAGAGCGGTTAAAAACAAACTTCTCCAAATTGCTCACTTCACTGGCATCTTCAAATGGTCGTAGATTTAAAACTATAAATCCTAGAGCAAAGAGCTTTATATTGTGAGAATCACAAGACCCAGACCTACATTTGATGCATAGTATGTCTCTGAAATATTAATAATGAAGGCACAGTCGCAGTTTAGAAATTGCCCTTCAAATTTGAGGTGGAGTTTCAATGAATGTCAATGGACAGCGTGAGTTGCAAACAAATGGTCATATTGTGAAAACTATCAGGACTATGGCTTAGCCATTGTTAGTGGCAGCAGGGATAGCTGAATGGTTTGATATAAGATTTGTGTAGGTGGGCTTGTAAATGAAGGCGTGATGGCAGTTTAGAAATCATGTCCTGATTTTTCAGCTCACACTCTAGCTTTTGTCAGCTCCCACTCTAGTTTTGAACATTCCGCCATTCATTCCTATGGGACCAATTTCACCACAAAAACGCCGATATTTTGTGAACCATTCAGCGAAACGTTCCACAAAGTAATAGCACACCAATCGGGAACAATCCGCACGTTTCGGTATATTACTGTCTATGTAGTGTAAAAAGTGTGGGAGGAGTTAGGGTGGTAAATTTGGCTATAGTAATAAGAATATATATGAGATAACAGTACGTGGTCTTGCCATGCAAGAACACTTAATGAATGTAGTCGTTCCTCATAATTAAGGTCCTCCAGTCCCTCTTATTAGCTGCGGTGCATTTCTCTGGACTCTCATAAGTTGCAGCACATCCTTCCTGAGGACTGGTGACCAGTACTGGGATACTCCAGATGTGGCCAAACAAGCCTTGTGGAACCCCACTTGCAATCCATTCTATTCAGTAAGTATGCCATTTATCACCACCCTTTGGACACGATCATGTAACCATTTTTCTGTACAGGTACACACACTACTGTTAATGCCAACTGACCTCAGTTTTGTAAATAAAGCGTTTATTGGGTACTGTATCAGATGCTTTGGCAAAGTCCAGATACAGCACATCTTCTGGCTTTCCTCTCTCCAGATTGTAGCTTACCCCCTCCATATTATGTTTAAAGGTTGGTCTGACAAGAATGATTCTTCATAAATCCATGCTGGTTACTACTAATGGAACTATTTCCAACAGCAAATTCCTGTATATAGGTCATTATCATCGCATCCAATATTTTACATATTATTGTTGTTAGACTAACTGGTCTGTAGTTTCCTGGTATATACAGTATCTTGGGCCTTTTTTGAATATTGGCAATACATTAGCTTTTTACTAGTCCGTTGGTACTATACTGGTCAGTAAGCTGTCTCTATAGATTAAGAATAATGGTCTAGCAATGACACGGCTTAGTTTTTGAGAAATAATCGGGTGTAACTCAATTGGTCATGGTGATTTACTCACTTTAAAGTGATTTTAAAGGTTGTAATTTTTTTAAAAATAGCAAACA